CCTAAAAATGCAGAGCGTTGAGGAGCGGAGCGGTGGGTGGGTTGAGGATGGGACCTCTGGCGCGGGTATGGTTTGAGCATCGCACTCCTGCCAACTTACCTCCGTGGTACTCAGCTTAACAAAAGAGGGTATTTTGGGGAGGGTGGGGGGTGTATTTTTGCACTAATTCCATGGTAAGTGAAAGAAAGATAGCTCCTCGTAATGTCAAGGCCCTAGACTTGGAGGTTTATTACATTTTAACAGTCTTGCCCCTCCAAAGCCAGATTCTCATTTGTTTATCTCAGTGTTGCAAAAATCCCAATCGTTTCCCCAAGATTTTGGGATGTAAGCTGGTGAAAATAGAATCCAAATCTGGCCCGAAGTTTGTCTCTGGGCAGGTACAGAATAGGTAGCTTACACTGAACGGCTCGTTCCTTGTGGGTCAATGCTCAGGGTGTTGCCTAAGCTGTAATGAAATGCCGCTTCTCTGCCTAAAACGCGTGTCTGACCATTCAAGGTCAACATCTAGTTCATGAAAAATGGAAACTGGTGATTCCTGAGACTGCAGTGGCCTTTTGGCTGTGTGTTTGCATGTCTGTGGAAGCAAAAGTGAGGAGATTTCAGTGCTGGAAAGTGAACGTGAGAGGTGACAACCTTTGGAGACAGTATCTCAGCCAAGAAAGATTATTTTCAGCCGAAAACTGAAATCTGTCCTCTTGGCTAGGGAGATGTTCCGAGCAAAAGTGTGGGGCAATGTGTGATCAGCGCTACTGCCAGGGCCAGAGCTCCTGACGCCGTATGAGTGTGACGCTTTATCCTCCTGCTTGCGAGCGAGTCACTGGTAGTCAGTTTTGCAAGCCCATGCGAGCTGTATTTGAGGAGTTTGCTACGACGGGGCAATGACAACCTCTTGAAGAGCACAGCACAGAGGGCTGGTACCCAGACCGTGAGATGAAAGCGTGTCTCTGATACTGTAATAGCACTTCTTGTCTAGCTTATGGGAAAGCCCTGGTCATCAAGTTCCTACCAGGCACAGTGCTTCACCTGGGCTGAAATACTGGGGCAGATTCAAAGCGAGGAAATCCCATATGCCTACAAAGTCTGGAGAGTATGGACTGAAATACTAAGTGACACTGATGAGGACAGAACAATCAGTTTTATGTTTCTCTTCAAGTTTTTCCAGTTGCAATGAGCTTGCATTGTAAATAGCTGAAAAACCTGACTGATAAGAGAATGGCTTAAACAGCAAGAACATACTGCCCTTTGGGGAAGGGGAAGGCGTAGACAGAAGTCTCTTGGGTACAAGCGTAGGTTCTTAGCCATAAAACCGAAGTGGAGGGTTGGGCTGGTGTGCTGGAGCAGCCCCTGAAGTTCTGATGGCTTTTTTGTTTTGCTTTGAAACACTGTGCTCCAGCTGTGGCAGGACGCTGGAGGACATCCAGGCTTTTGCTTGCAGATAATCGGGCTGTAAGACAAGCTGAAAAGGGTGGAGGAGGTGATCGGTTTTCTTTTTTCGTGGTGTGGTTTACGTTGCTGTTGTGATGTCTGGTAGCAGCAGCAACTCATGCAGAGATCCGTCATACAGTTTCTGAAATCCTCTAACTACAATGTACAATTGTCCCGACGAGTTCTCCAGAGCCCAAGCTTAAAAAAGTGAGTTGAGTCTCCGTGACGCTTTCTTGCTTGTAGACCTCTCGAACCTTCAAAGCAGTGGGGCCACGTGGCGTTTCCTGGGGCTGAAGACTTGAAGACTTGGCTGTTGCGATTGCACGTGGGAGTTTGCAGAGAGGCAGGACTCATTTGCTGCTCTTGTTTTTCACCTTTGTGGCATTGATATCTGCTTTTGTTTTCTGGATGCGGGAGAAGATCTCCTTAAAAAGAGCCTTGTACTCGGGCTGGCTCTGCTCCAGCCGCTTGTAAACCTCTCTCCCAACTCGTGTCCCTCTCCTCGGAAATCTCTGAAGGAGCTGTCGCGAGAGATGGGCCGGGACGTTTGGACTCCTGTGTGGCGCACACTGTCCTTGTGCTGCCGACATTTACTCAGGAGCTCTTCGTACTTCTCCAGCAAGGCGTGATACTGCTCGTCCACTTCCCTCAGGATGGACATGCCGCGTTTGCGCACGTTGTTAGCGTGCAGCGTGTAATTGCCCTCGTGCCGGCTCACGGCATCCTTGGTCACAATGGCATTGAGGGCTGTGTCACTGCAGCTTTTCCGGACAGGGTGGTTTGGGGAAGGTGTCATTGATGGCCCATGACTTTTTCCTCCCTCCTCCTCAGAGAGGTCGATGTAGTCTGCTTCTGGGGCATTATTCAGTGGCTCAAGGAGGGCCTCAGACAAGTTGTCCTCTCTGCTGAGCAAATACTTCTTGACTTGTTTCATCTGTTGCAGCTCTAGGAGCTCTGCTTCCAGTTCCTTGATGCGCAGTTTGCAGTTCTCCATCTCGCACACACGCTGCTCAAGGTCTGAGTACTCCTGAATAACGGAGGTGTACTCTCGCTCAACCCTCTCCTTCCGCTGCTTCTCCTGATTGACTTGGGACCTCAGGGAGTTCACCATGGCTTGGAGACGCTCATTCTCCCTCTCCAGTGGCTTCTGGTTGAACTCTGTGGAAGAGCTGTGGACCTGGAATGCATCCTCATACCTGAAAAAGAAGGAGCCGTGAGGGAATCTGACCGAGTGACAATCCATGAGGGACTTGTGTCTTATTGTCATGTAAGAAAGGCCACTGATGCCCAAAAAGGAGGTAACCTGAGCTCATGGAGTGATATACACCTCCTCCTGTGTGCCAGGAGACCACAAAGCGTGACTGGGGCTCTTTTGGACACTGAGACCAGGCTCTGTCCCAGAGAACCTGCAGTCTCATTTGATAGCAGTGATCAAAGACAGGAGGGAAATGAAACCCTAGAAGGTAAAAGACTCATCTGGTTAACGGACAAGCCACCAACGTTGCCATGAAGCAAGGATGAATGTTTCAAGTGCTACCAGTCTGAGCTGAAAGTAGGCGGCTTTGAGTTTTTCCTGCTGGAGTTCATCAGCTACTTGCCGCATCACGGAGTTCACCAACTACTCACTGCATCTGCCAACAACCCCAAACCCCACCCAGCAAAAAACCAGAAGCACAGGCTCTGCTGTCTGGAAGGTGCTCCAGAGAGGGTGGGAGAAGCAAGGGTTGCAGACAGAGACTTTTGACAGAATTTCCCCTTCTTCATTGCCTGGGAAGTGACAACAAGCACGTCCCCCTTCTCTCATATCGCTGTCAGGAAATCGGATTTTCCTCCTCCTCGATGAAGTGCCCGTGGCATCCTATCCGGTTAGAACAGATTGGAAAAGAGCAAGCACCGTGGCTTCCCCTGGGAGGCATGGCTGGTGGCGGGGGGTATTGAACAGCTTTCCAAGTTACTGAAGGGCAGCCTGACCTTCAGAGCCCACTGCAGAGCCGCAAGCCGAACTGAGGTCCCGAGGCACTGGGGGGAGAGTGGGATTGGGAGACGGGGTGGTGGTGGGGGAAGAACCACAGAGACATTAAGTGGATTTTGCTGGGGGTTAGGTTATGGCCTCATAACATCCCCTTTGCGGCTGCAGTAAAAGTGTCTTTTGTTCGTATCCACTGGCAGGGGATGCTTTCAGTAACAAAGTTTATCGATTGCTTATCTATTTAAAGAAGCCTCTATTATGGACAAAGCCGAGCAAGAAATGCCCTCACGAGCTCAGGGAATTCACGCAGTGGCTGGGTTTTAAGGAGGATCAAGTGTGCAATAGTGCTGAAGGTGTTTGTACAGCGTTTGGCGGCACGTGGGTGTGTGACTGCTGCTCTTGGGGGGGGGTACACAGGAAAATGCACTATCTCAGCTGGTTTCAGTGTGCCAGAGATGCTGGTCCTGTGCTGGGAGGCAGCTGCAAAGGGAAAATGGGCTGTGCTGGTTCGGGAAGGGATGCTGTGTGACAGCTCGAGGTAATGGTCCTCTTCACATGATGTGTTGCTGGGTGGGCTGTACTGGGAGAGGCTGGTTTGAGCCATCTAGAGCTCCAGCAATGCGTCCTGTCTGGTGAGTGTTCCTGCTCAGCTCCCTGCCAACCTGCCAGGACAGTCCCAGTCCCTCCAGGCAACGCCTGGCCCCTGTACCCTGGCCCAGTGAGGCTGCGTGAGGCATCCCGATCCTCCTGGGTAGCTATTCTTGCCCTCTGAAAAAGAACTTATGTCTCCCCATTGGAGGCATTGCTGATGCTGGGATCATGAAGGCTCTGCTTTGCCAATGCCACCTGCTCAGGTGTGTGGGTAGGAGAGAGGAAAGTCCTCCCTTCATCTCCAGCATCGAGTGTCAGGCTCTGATGCAGACCCTAGATCTCTGTGGGGGTGTATGTGGGGTTTTGTGCACCCCCAGAGGGGCTAACCCACCGCATCCCCTGTTCACGGGCAGAGGAGGTGGGGGAGAAGGTTGGGGGACTTTTAAAGACGAGGCTCCGTACCTGGGGCTGGAGCACAGCTCCTTAAGGCAGGGGAAGGTGTGGATGGTTCGGCGCCGTTCCCTCTTCTCCCGCCGAATGCGGAGCTGCTCCAAGCTCCGCATTTCTTCCACCTGCTTCTGCAGCTCCTCGACTTGGTTCTGCAGCCCCTCGATCGTTTCCGTCAAGCTGTGGAGAGAGGAGGGAGCATGGATGAGGAGTCAGGCACTGCAGGTCCTTGAAAGGTGTTTTTTCCCTATAGAGAAAGCTAGTCTATGGAAGATGCTTCCAGTTTCTAGCCCTGGGAGCGCGACAGCATTTGCTTTTCATGGCAGCGGTTGGTTTTGCTCTGTGTGGTTGCTGTTGAGCAATGAGGGTGTTTGTAGAACAGGGTGGGGGATTGATGCAGTGGTAAGGGATTGTACTAATTTGAGACCCTCTGTCCTCAAATCAGTGGGCTAAAACAGTCACCCCTGGGGCAAAAGCACTATCCTGGAATATCTCTGCACTAAAAGCAAGCAGGCGACTGATTTACACTCTACCTCTTGTTTCTCTTGTAGAGATAAACACAGAGAGACCGGGCAGAGGTTTAATTTTGTTCTGGCTGTGAACAGTTTGTAAAACTCTGCTTCAAAACGCCCTCTCTGCACAGTTGTTTGCAAAAGATGCTGCATTGCAAGGACACAGCTTGGTCTGTTGTTTCCAGGGATGACCTTGATGGTGAGCCTGTTTTAGGAAAGAAATTGTTATTGACAAATTGGTGTTTCAGCATGGGCTAGCCAGGATTTCGCTAAATGCTGGATCGGTGCCTAGTGTTTTTGCTGGGCTGTGTGCTGGGGACCTCCCTGATACGATTATGTGCCTCTTCTTCAAGCAAACACATCTGAGGAGGAGGAGGAGGATGAGGATGAGGATGAGGATGAGAAGCTGCTGTGCCTCTCTCCTGGCAGCTACAGACACTCCTTCATCCAGCCCTCGTCCCAGGGGTGTCTGTGCTGTGGCTGACCTCTGCTAAGCAGCATCGGTGCGATGAGCTGGTGTTGTAAATAGGCTGCAAAACTGGAGTGATAAGAGAATGGCTTAGACAGCAAGGACACGCTGCGCTTTGGGGCAGGGGAAAGGTGCGATGAAGGTCTCTTGGGTGCAGCATCGCTGCAGTGGGAGGAGGGGAGGCCGTACCACTGTATCTTCTGTTGGGATGTCTTGCTCTCTAGCACGAGCTTCTGGTTAGCTAGCTCCAGGTCCCGTGCTGTCAGGTCCAGCTGCTCGTAGACTTTCGCATGCTGTTCGTTCATCTGCCGCAACATCTCTAGTTGCTTGGTCAGGTACTGCAAGAAAAAGCCAAACAGAAAGACTCCACATCCAAAATCCATTTTTTTTCACAGGCAGAAATTGCTGCAGCCTTTGCTTCCTTTGATAATGTGTGTTGTGGCTGATTTATTCTCTCTTGGTTGAACCCTCTTGCACAGGTGAAATATTCATACACCTGCCCACTTCAAATACTTTTGTGTCTAAAATCAGATTGAACTTCCCCTGCCCTCTTTGAAGGGCACTACCCTCAATCTCTCTCTATTCAGCTGCTTTTTTTATTCCCAGTACCCAAAGAAAGTTGATATCCCTGGGACTGTGTCCCTTCGCCAAACTTGACTGAAATTGGCCGGTTGGTTACTGGATCGTGTGTCAGATCGATTGCAGAAGCTGCGTTTCCTTGGGAATTCAGGCTAAAACTCTGAGTCCGTGAAATGTGAGGAGACTCGCGGCTTCTGCATGTTCAAAGACCCCTTTCTGTGAGTCTGTCATTGCAAGATTTTATCCTGGCAGAGGGGCATCTACCCAAGTGCTCACCCTCACCTGAGAGCAGATCCCAAATCCTATGGTGGACGTGCTCCTGAAGGGCTGCTCCATCCACCAGTTTCCTCAGCCATCGGCTGTCGGGTCCCCGCAGCCATCGCGTGCTGCTCTTGTGACCTCGCAGCTCTCCTCTGCCCCGCGTCTTTTTAGATCAGGGGGGTTCTGATCTTTTTTAATTCACAGATCCCTAAAAGTTTTCCAGTGGATGAAAACCCTCCCGGCACAGCAGGTTTAAGCCTCTAAGCTTAGTTCTGTGGGGCTTAGAAATACTGCCCTGACCCCAAAGGATGCTTGAAATGGTGGTTTAGATTGCAGCTCTTGGAGAAAGAGCTATTTTATGCCTCTAACAAAGGGGGCTGTGTTTTGGGGGTGCCGAGGGGCCAGCTGGGAACAAACGCGATTATGAATAACTAGAATCAAAGGAAAGCAGCAGCAGAGCAAAGAGAAGCGAGTGTGAAGGCTGGCAGATGGGCAGGGAAAGGCCAAATGTGCCCCAGATGCAACCTGGTGCCAAAATCTGGCATGCACATCTGGGGTGGGAGGGGGGAGGGATGTGAGAAGGGGGAAAATCCCAATTAGTGGGGAAAGAGGATCCTCTCCAGGTCTGGGATGGGCTTTAGCTCCCATCCCTGTGGCACGTCCCTTCCTCTCTCCTGGCGTCTGAGCTGTTGGCATTGGTGGAAGCGCCCCTTCCACCCCACCGCCCTTAGGTGACAGCGGTGGCCGAGCAGCTCCCGTCCCCACCTCTGGCCTGACTGTGTCCCTACCTCGATTTCCTGCACTTGCTCCTCGTTGGTGGCGTACATCTGCTGCAGGGAGTCCTCCAGCTCTTTGTTGCGCTCCAGCAGCGTCTTCCCCAGCTCCGCGGCCAAATGCAAGTCTGAAAAGCAGATGGGACAAAGCTGCTGCAGTTCCCACGGCTCCGCCGGTGGATGCGGCGGGGTCCCCAAATGCCACCGCACCAAACACAGTGGCACATTTGCACGGTGCTGGTTTTATTGGCAGGTTTTGACATGGATGCGTGCTTATGGGACGTACAGGATCTGGCCTCCTTCGTCTTGCTGGGCTGCAGGAACAAGGGGAGGCTGAGCTCAGGACATTTGCAGGTCCTCCATGCAGTGAGGATTTGGTGCCCGGCTGGCTGTGTAACCCCTGTGTGCTGCACTACATGCTGCACAGCCAGGATCAGGCCCATGGGGCTTGGCTGTGGCAAGGTGTTCTGCACCTCCATCCCCTACTGCTGAGACCCGTGGGGCTGAGAGGGGCTCAGTGTGCGTCAGAATGAGAGCGAGAGTTGGTAAAGCCCCCCAGGGCCTTGGGGATGCTCTATAAATTATATTATTGTCTCTAATGAAGGGAGTGCCTTGCCTTCCCCCGTCAGCCTCCATCCATCACCTGCTAATAGACTGACATGAGTAATAAAACCACGCGTGGCCCAAGGGGGTTGGAAGCACCTCCCGCATGTGCCGCCCAGGCAGCGCTGCATCGGCCGGGTCCGAAGCTCTTTCCTTGGGGCAGCTCCGGGATGAGTTCAAACCGCTTTGTATTCACTCTCTGCCACCTCCAAATGCCCTTAGGAAGCTACTGAAATAGTTGGACTTTAGGAGAAGCGTATGGAAAAAAAGATGTTGACAGTGTGGCCAGCTTAAAGTACTGGATTTTCTGCTTCCTGTGTAAAGAAAAAGTCCCAGGACCCGATGAGTCCTGTATTGGCTAAAGCTTGAGCACCTCAGGTGATACTGTTTGTGGGCCTGGGATGGCACAGCTGTCTCTGATAACATCCCCTCGCTTTCACAGAAATTGGTTGTCTTCTTAAAGCCTGACCCCTCCTGTGGGTTCCTGTTTTTCCTGGTCCTTTTAGAGGTGAGTTTCTTGCTCTTACAGTGGCAGACTTAAAATCTGACCTTAAGCCTTCTAAAAGGTAAGGAAACAGATCCTGATGTGTGTTATTTCTCTCTCTGGTATAGTTATTGTGCAGGTTTAGATAATTAAGGAGTGGCAAACCTGCAGTGTGTGAGGGGACCTGGGTCTCCTGCCCTGGCATTTTCTCAGCCTGTTGTGATGCTTCTCTCTAGTCTGCAGCTAATGATGTGTTTTGCAAAGGTTCTGCTAGGGCTGAGAGCAGCTGTAACTTCTTCCAGCAGTTAATTTGGCTGTGCAGTTGATTGGGATGCTGCAGAAGGTATTCTGAGCCTGGGAAAATCACTAAGCTCTCGTACTTCAAATGGCATATGACAAAATGAGGCTCACACCGACCTCTGGGACATGAGTGCTCACTAGGAGGAAGGCTGTCGGTGCTTGGGGTGGGCTTTCCTGATGGATAACAGTGCGCTGGGGGAAGTGCTGATATGTTATTAATTTGGGTGATGGCTGTGTTTCTTTCTGTGTGGCCCTAAGCAGTGCCCGAGGACTGGCTCCCCAGATGTGGTCCAGCCAACAGCTGCTCAGTGTGTCCTCGACTCTCCCCTTTACCATGGGAATGCGCTCTCCAGCTGTGGCCTGCATTGCAGGGTGTTATTCTCGGCTGTGACCTTTTTAATTATAATCCTCGTCATTGCACAGTGACCCGGTCTGAGGGCTGCAATCCCGGCTATCAATGCAATCAAGGTATTGGCACGCTTCCCCATGGACAGACCTCCTCCGCCTATTTACTTATTTATTTATTTTCCCCCAAGCACCAAATCTCCCCAGTTTCCAAAGTGCCCTTGGGAGACTGAGTGTTTGCGACACCAGCTGGGGACGAGGGAACAGCCAGATGCCAGCAGAGATGGAGGACAATTTGTGCCTTTAAGCTGCTCGGGGCTGTATTTAATGGCACTGCCAGCTTGCCAGAGCCGGCGGTGTTGCTGGAGACCGGCACCTTGCAAATCGCATCCCTTGCAGCAAGCGGGGCCCCAGCACAGAGGCGTGTAGCGAGAGGGCTCCGCGCTGCACTCCAGGTAATGAGTCAAGTGTGTCCCCGTCCCTGCGGATTACACCAGTGCTCTCCCACCATATGGCATCCAATTTAATCAGCTGGGGTTGAGTTAAGTGGATTAGGCAGCGCAAGATCCTGGGTTGTAATTTAAAGGGCTCTGTCAGCAATAATTTAATGGGGGAAATGGGCAGCGTTTGGGGACGAGTGGGAAAGAGGAAAGAACGGGGCTGAGCTCTGAGGAGGAAATTGGTTCTCCGTTTCCATTTTGAGCGTAAGGGCCTGGGAGACTCCAGGCTTGAAGGACACAGGGGAGTTGGTACTTTTAGTGTCTTTTAACCGTCTCAGCTGTCGTCACGCACACACTCATTCATTCTCTGTCTGCCAGCCAGCCAGAGCATCCTCAGTAATCCCGTCTCATCCATCCTCCTCGTGCCTGGGTCCTCTTCCCCACCTGTTGGTCTTCCCTGGACTGTGGGACTGTGGAGAGGGAGAGGATGTTGCATGGATGTGCTTTAATGTCATCTTTAGACTCGATCCCTCTTGATTTTTTGCACTAATTGTGGCTCTGCGTGGGCTCTGGGCACACACCATCAAGACCTCAGCAACCTGAATGTGAATTTTTCAGCAAGTTGTTTGGGGTGGGGGGAAAGAACTATTTAGGAATTTGGGGGTTCTCTCTGCATAGCACTGTGGTTTCCCACAATTTTTTTTCATATTCCTCTTTGCTTCTCTGCCATCAGATCAGCCAGCCAGTGCTGTTGGACTTGCCCTAATTTAGCAGATAAGCTGATGCCTCCCTTCCCCCTCTCCTCTCAACACAGAAGGAGAAATAAAGTGGTGGGGAGCGGCTGTGCTGTGTGTCTGCTCAGTGTGCCCGGTCCCTCTGCAGCACTGCCTGCACGGACCGCACTGCTGTGAAATAGCCAACATTCAACCTAAAAATTGGGGAGCCCGATGTTGCACAATTCCTATTTGGGAGAGGACCACAGATGCAAGCTGTCCTGGGAAACACCAGCTCTGTACCCTTTGGCTCTCAGTACCGCAAGCGCTGACGTGACCCTTCTAATTAACACCAGCCGAGGAGACACCCCGCGTCCCCAAACAAAGAGCTGCGCCTACAGAGCAAAGCGGAGGGAGGGACGGAGGCTGTGTTTCCCTGCAAGCTTCCGCGGGAAAGGCGCCTGAGCAAGGAGGGAGGGGAAGAGAAGAGAGACCATATGGTGGGAAGGGAGCGGGAGTTGAATCCAAGCAGCGCTCGGTACAGGGGAGCGCGGCCAGAGTACATCAAGGAGGCAGCCATCCTGGAGCCCCAGAGATTGTCACCAGCCCAGCGATAATTCTGCTAGCGCTGTGTCACTGGGGAAACTTGGGGGATAAAAAAAAAAAATAAAATCCTGATCCAAAAGCTGTAGCAGGTTGCCTTTGACTGAAAGGGGCTGAGGAATGAGCTGCAGGGTGTTCCCCTGCTGCAGCATTCCCATGGCAATGCTGGCTTGGGCAGATGTGCGCTGCACGGGGCTGCCGCAGAACTGAGTGCTTCCTGGCTGCCCCAGCCTTCGCTGCAGCTCGCAATGGGGCACAAAGAGGGTTTGGAGCAGTTTCTGCCCTTCCCGGTGCTGGCCTGCATCTGTTCGGGCAGAGCGGTCTTTGCCACAGCCCGCTCTCTGAAGGGTTTTTTTCCCCCCACAGCATGTCCCAGTTGTGGCTGTGGGGGAGCGTAAGGCTGGTGCTGGGCAGGGGAGGTTTCGGCTGCTCTTGGCACAGCGATGATCTGGGAGCTATTCAGATGGTCCTCATAAATACAGCTTTCTGGAGGAAGCCACCATCTGGAGCAGCCACTTTGGGGCTTTCCCCCATCGTCTCTCTTGCATCGAGGGATTCGTGTGTTTAGGCTGTGAGAGAACATGCCTTTGCTCCTCACCTTCAAATAACCCAACCATCTCCCAATCTTGCGAGACAGGCAGGCTCATAGGGGATGTTAGAAGTCCTCTGGCTTGTAGAGGTAAGAAGCAGGGGTTTATGGTGGATATTTGTGCAGGTTCTTTTCAGCTAAGCAGCTATTAAGGAATTATTTGTCCCTCCCTAAAGGTTTGGGGCTGGGTCTACAGGAAGGGCTGCTGCAGGTGGTGAATTCACCTGCTGAAGTGTGAGGAGGAGCAGCGAGCAGAGCTCTGGTGTGGAGGTCTCTGGAGGAAGTTCAGGGTGGTTGTTAGCTGATGGATGGGGTAGGTTGAGAGTTAAGAACTGATGTTTAATGCTGTTGACGTTTAATTTAATTGCATTTGCTGTCTGCTCCATTACACATGGGTACTTAAAATCAAGGGTAGGTGCAATTATCCCTTTCAAAAACTAAATAAATGATGCTGTGCTGGTTTACCCCAGGGTAGGGTGTACTTGCTACTCATTTATTTTTCTTCTTAGGTGCAAGGGATTGTGCTGTCTGGGTATATTACAATGAAGATCAGCTTTTGCATATCACTTACTGCTGCTCTGTGGCAGCTGATGGAGGCAATCTGTGTTCTTAGCCCCTATAAGCCTTTGCAATGGAATGTGCTGAGGTGCAGAGAAGCGAGTGCCATCTGACAGCATCTTGCAAACAACCTGCAGGCATGTCTGGATGTGGAAAAGCCTTTCCAACATGCCCATTCCACAGATGATAGTGCTTCCCATGGCCAGGCAGAGCTTTCGGAGAGCCATCAGTATTACTGCTGAGGTGTGGATTCTCCATCCCTTTTACACTGGCATAACTTGGACGTTGTTACCCAAATCAGCTTTGTGCTTGATTTTCTGTGTGTTTTTTGTGGGGACCTGTCGTTGCGGTGTGATCAGGTGCAGCACGGAGGCAGGGTTTGCTTTGTAGAGCAGCTCAATGCAGCACGGGGGAAAGGTGTCCCTGCCAGGCTGGGTGAGCGCGTGGAGCCCCTGGCAGCGCAGCCCCATCCTCCCTCTTCCCCTCCTCATTT